TCAAACTCAAAGAAAACATTTGTAACCAGACAACTAAGAAGTTAACACGGTGTTTTGGAGTCTAAATCCGCTTCAATATCCATTTAAACTCACTTAACTGTAAAAATAAGAGCGTTTAGATCAGTTTAGATGTGCTGTTTACACAGCAGGTGGATGTGACGTCACGGCCACAGCACATCGAAAAACAACAACATCCAAATCCGCGATTCTCGCTTTTCTTGAGTGCTTGTCAGACCGGATAAAGTGAAAAAATACCCGAAGCTGCTTCGTGGAGAAAGGCGGTGTGAAACGACTCAAAGCACGGCGGTGTGTTTCTTCCAGCGGTGTTTTGCTGCTGAAGTTAGTACCGCGGGCGGAGGGATATGTTTGTTGGTTATTTACAGTTTGTTTGAGAGCACGCGCTCGTGGTTTACGAGAAGATTGCTGCGAAGTTGATTTTGTTTTCCGCACAAATATCCGTGTCGCTGTCAAACAGCGGTAAGTTCATTCTCACGAAGCATGCTGCAACATTTCACGGACCCGCAGATTGGCTTTGTTATCTAATTGTTGTTTAATGTATTAGAGCGCTAAAGAGAGAATAACTGATATTACAGACCGCGTGGGAGATGTGACTAAGGTTATCTACTTTTCCTGAAGTTAACATGGCTTTCTTTGGCTTGCAGAATTGTCGTTGTGTGGAAACAACAGTGTATATATTTGTTAATATAATATTATTTAATTGGTAATAACGTTAACCAGCTGCGTAATTGTTGTTATTGATGTTGTAAAAGTTTGCAAGCCGAGATTTGTCACGGTGTACAGAAGCCTCAACGGGGGGCTTTTCCCCACGTGTCTTCTCAACCACAAACAAAACTTGAGCTAACATTACTTGCACTTCGTATAAAGACTATGTGCAAAACGAGGACTTTTCAGAATCGTGTTACATTTTTCCTTCCCTTGACAAACACCGGTGGGCTGTGTCGTTTATCATCCGGTAGTTGAGAACGATTGCAGAAACTTGCACAATTTTGAAACTGCTACCTTTTTGCATTGTGTGTATGTCGGAATGATTTTGTTTTTAACCAGCTTTATATGGAACATATAGCCTTAATGATGGCTATTAAATAAATAGCCTTATTAAATTGCCTTTATTACAAAATAAAGGAAAGAACAAGCCATACCATTACATAGTCCATAGCACAAATTTTAGATGCACTCAAAACAGGTACCATACATCCATAAGCATATGGTATAGAAGCCCATTTGCCAACTCCTCAATAAGAATATCCACTATTGGCTCGCCCAAAAGTTAAAAATCGATACATGATGTCATCAGCTAATTTGCATGTGTATGAAAATGATTTCACCTAAGATTTTTTTTTTTTTACAATGGCAGAGAGCAAATGTATACATATTACATGCTGTATTTAAGGCCCTGTCAACACGTACCCGGTTATGTTGAAAATAAGTATTTTTCTACACTGTTACGGCGTCAGTCCACATGGCGGTCAAAACGAGGACTATGTTTCTGTCTATTCCGCTATTGTGGCTATAGGACGTTACAGGCATATGTTTACTATTTGAACACCAAACAGAGGCTGTCATTTCGCACACACAGTGCTGAATAAGAATTTTAAAAATGCCATGACTTCCACCTGTTGGTTTGATTTGTTTTTGGGGGCGTTTTGGGGGTTTTGAATGTCCGTGTGGATGTTTTTTTTTTTTTATAGAAAATGAGAGGACACAGTTTGTTTGGACACTGTGTGAGAAAATAACCCAGGTACGTGTGAGTATGGCCTAAATACAAACAAATGGTGTAGATTATAAAAATAAACGCAAAGCAGAACACAACTAAAGTAAAAAATTAATACAAATATTGGAAATAAAATGAGAAGCAACTTCTGAGATTTCTAGCTAGATGCATCTTCTGATAATTTTTGTTTGTGTTAAGCTTAAAATAAAATAAAATAAATTGTGTGAAAAAGCTGGATTTCCATTTGTTTTGAAAAAAAAAAAAGCCACCAATGTTGTGTTAGAGAGGAGTTCATTACATTTTCCAGAATTCTTTGTTTTTATTAATAAAAAACAAAATCTCTAATTCTCTTTCTGAGAACAGAGCACAAGATTGCATCACATGAATTTGAAGAGATAGTGAGCAATTCTCTTTTTAGGATAGAGATGCAGACAGAAACTAGTGCTCAATGAGAGACAACAAACTTGCTGAAAAGTCACCCAGAATCTCAGAAAAAAGTCATTAGATTTGTGCCTAGATTTAAAAAAAATGTATAGAGGGTCTGAAAAGTCCCTAAATCTAGCCACAAAGTTAAAGTTCGAGTAAAAATTCTTAACAAAAATACAAATTTTTCAAAATAATCATTCATAGTAGTTTAATGAGAAACTAAATATAGTTTGAGTTTTCATTAATTATACATGTAATGTATGAATATGCCTCTGAATAATTGTTTTGCACTAACAAACACTGACTTCTCACAGAGGTTATGTTGCTTTTTGATATAGAAACGTTAATAGTTTTCTTATTATATCTTTAATGCCATTTTATTGGCCTAGAATGTTCCAGAGAAAGGGAATGTCTGACGAATATCAAGCATGAAACTAACTTTACAGCTGTGTTCGGAGCCACTGTTCATAATGCCGAGCCGTTGCTACTTTTTGGATCTGCATCTACCATCCACTTATGACGCAATCACCAGAAGCATTCATACTCTGATTGATAACAACATGAAACACATATGTTTTGAAGCCATGCTGCTGCGTTGAAACATAAAAAAAGAGATGGTGCACGTTGTTTCAGAATCAGAATCAGAAAAAGCTTTATTGCCAAGTAGGTTTGCACATACAAGGAATTTGCTTTGGTGACAGACCAAGGCAGCATCTGCTGTGCATAGGTTTTAAGAGACAATGCACATAACATTTTCAATTACAGAGTGAAAAGTGTGTTATTTGTTAGTGTTATTGGTTAGTGGTGTCGGCCTTTAGAAGCTTAAATATATTGGTTATCCCTAGTCAAATTGTCTCCAGTGATGAAAAGATGGTTAGTTATTGCTTTTAGATTTAAAAATATTTTTTTCCCATTATTTCTTTCATAGTTCATAAAGGGAAGCCATTGTAGTTTTAATATATCATGTTAATAAGACTCAGTTCTTTAGACTAGTCATTGAAAGAAGGAGAAGACAAAAAAAGAATGCTTCTTTTTTGTTGAAGTAGAATAAACAGCCTCCAACAAGCGAACCTTGACAATCCAGATTAAGGAAAACACTGGAGATCAAACAGTGCTGCTGCCGGGCCGTTGTCATGAGCTGCTGGAGAGCGAGAGACAAAGAGATGGATGGATGGGGAGAGAGAGAGAGAGAGAGAGAGAGAGAGTCTGTTTGAACAGCCACTGGAGTTTGTGTGCTCACTTATGCAGAAATGGACCTCTGTAAACGCAGACTGACCCCGGATTAAAAGCACTGGCTGAACTTTTCTTTACAACTTTTGGCTCCTAACGGTGCTTCTTCAGAGAACTCTTAAGCACTCGTCTGTTTTTCTGAAACAAACCCCAAATATCACACCAAATAAGTTCTTGTGCTTTTTCATATTTGTTTTCTAAAAATAGAAGTCATAATATTCCAGGAATACATGCACAACCTCATTTTTACAGATGAGTCTACGTTTCGGTGGTAAAATGGGGGAGAAAGGTTAACTTCGTAGAGGTAAAAAACCTAAATCGAAGTGAGAATCTGAGAATTTCGATGGCTAAGCTCTTACTCATGTGTAACTGTGCGCTCAGGCTTCTGTTGCTTTATGTTTCATATCTGGAAAAGCAAGCTGTTGGCCAGATGCAGGACATTGAGGATGCAGACTTCATTTTGTTTCTATGGAAACCCTGGACGCTGTCTACGTGGAGTAGGATGTTGTTTAGACTTAATTATAGCTTGTTGTTACCTTCTACAGGCAGCTAGAAATTATAGAAGTTGAAGAAAACACAGTCCCTTTGCTTCTAAAGATCTCTCATTTTCTTGGTTCCCTTTTTGTATTTTAAGTTTCTTTATTTATGAAGATATATTTTATGTATCCTAGTAATGCTTTATTTAGCATGTATTAGCAATAATTTAGCATTAGCAAAACATGGAGACATTTATTTATTGTGTATGTTTTTATGACACTAGCCATGAAATGTATTATGCCATTACAGTTTTAGATCTTTACAGATTCATATCTTTTTTTTTGCTGCTACTTGTCTGAAGTGAGTGCTGGATTGGTCCACTAGTGGGTAATCTCCACTTTCAGGTTTTTTTGTATCTACAAGCAATGGAGTTAAAGTAGAACCCAAGTAACTGTCGATTTGTCATGAACACACTTTCTCTCAGATAAATGTAAAAATAACTTGTTGTTTGCATAAACTATTCTTAACTTTGTTGCTTGTGACTATTTTCTAGACTCATCCACATGCCACCGGCAACATTCACTTTAACTCCTGTAGTTTCGAAATGCCCCTCTGTCTTAAAAATAAACGTAATGTGTCTCTCTTCTGCTCGTGGTACAAATGCATCTTAATATAGCTTGTTCAGTTTACATCTGGACAAATCCAGTTTAAAAAAGAAAGGAAACTGACAAATTATTTAGACGATGCGAAGGAATTACGGAGCTGCCATTGTGTCCAGTTTGTCCATTTGCATGAACGCAATAGCCGTTCCCAAATTAATGTCCGCTATCTTTGAAAACTGATTTGGTAATTTTCTTGATTAAGTTTTTACGGAAATTCTTATCACAAACAGCATTCTTTCACAACAAATGTTTGTCCACAACTAAACTATCATAATGACATTTCACTTCACCAACGTCAATTTACCTTTTTAGTCATTTTGTTTTTAAAATACAAGTTTACAAAACCGTTTTACAAATGATTGCATTGTGTTACAGTAATGTGTTGTGTAAGCCTATGTATACACTGCCCCAGTGTTAAATATAATAATGAGTTGTAATAATAATCTCCATTTTACACTGAGGTTGTTTTGAGGATTCCTGTGGCTCATTTCGTAGAGCATTGTGCTAACAACACAAAGATTGTGGGTTCAAATCCCTCACCATCAATATCGGTTGAGTTCATTTAACACATGCTTTTTCTGTGTATATGTTGTTTTTCATGAATTTAGATGAACAGATTTGGTAGAAAGTATTATATGGTGAACAAAAAGAAATGGCAATATTGTTGACGGTTAATTAGCTTGCATACACTTTAAAAGGGATAGTGTTTAAGTGTGCTCCAAGGGAATAGAGTTTTTTTCACCCTCTCAATAGCAGCATGCTCTCAATTAGAATGTTTAATCAGGAAACCAGCTCAAGTACTAATTACCTCATCTTTGCATGCATGTTAATTGTTTTACAAAAAGGTTTCTTTTTCTCCAAATTGAACGTTCTAACGAATTCAAAGGAGAGGTAAATGATGGAAGATTTCTTTGATCCTCTGTTTACGTCTGAATGTGTGTTTATACCAAAATGTGCCCTATTTGCTTGTTTGAACTTTGAAGCTATTCGCTCGGTTTTAATTGACGTTGTTGTTGCTTGTTTACTTCACATATGTGAAGCTACGCTTGATGAATCATTATGAAAGCATGGTAATTATGTTCAAAGATCAACTTGGCACCCAACCTGCCTCATTCCCATGAAAGTGTGGTCATACAGCCTTTTTGTGTTTGTTGCTTTGAGGAACCCTTTAGGAAGGTAAATCAGAAGAAAGGCCATAACAAATTTTTCTTTTGAGTCCAGAGTGTTCCCAAAATCATATGTCTGTACAAATGGTCATTCAAGTGAATGGTGATATCCAAGCCCTGAAACAAAACAAATCTCATGCTCTTTCAGGAAATGGCTCTTTTTTTCAACTGCTAGAGATAAATGTACTTATGGAGTTACTAGATATTTCACTAAAATCATTTGTATGTTATAAATTATCATTGTGTACAGTCTTCTGAAGTGTGGGTTGATGCAGTGAGAGTTTGCAAGCAGCATGAAGTTTCTTGCTAATGTGTTTTCTATTGCTACAGTTGTTTTGTCAGATAAGGTTTGATTAATCAAAATTAGATGTGTATCCGCATGTAGAAATTACAACCTACAGGCTTTTGCTATAGACAGTTCTGTGTATCTTGTGTTTTGAGGCCATCACCTTGTTGTTCCATTCCTTAGAACTTTTAGAGGTTTAGAACGTTTAGAACTTTTAGAGGTTCACTTCACAGTGCATTTGTATTCGTTTTTAACGAAAACTCGACTGACTTTACAGCTTTCCAAAGGGTGAGCGTATCTGCCTTAAATTGATCCTTTTGGGGATCTTTGATCTTAGAAGGGCTCTTAAGGTTACACTAAGGCCTCTCGTCCATCAGGAAATGTATATAGGTGGTGTTTGGGAAACTAGTTTCTGGAGGAATACTCAGGGGATGCCATCAGCTGCTCCCATCAAGCCATCACTATTTCATTCCTCTCTTCACCCACTTTCCACTCCTTCTCCTCACTGGGTATTACTCTGAAACCTTCCACGATCAGACAGCTTGCCTGGTATATTCGTACTCGCCACCTTATGTTTACTACAAGGCAGGTCCTGGTGGTGAACTCGTGAAAACCCCACACAAAGAGCTGAGAGATTGGGGAACTTATGTGCATAAAAATACACTGTTTACTGTAGGTGAATTGAAAATACAATATCAATACATTCTGTTCATTCAATTATCAATTACATAAGGCCATTTCATTAGGGCCATTTCATTTTTTAATGGCATATTTAATAGACATTGGCTCAAAGTGCTTTACACAGACTTGAGACCGAGAAAGTGGAACATACATAGTAGGTTCAAACACACATGCCCAGAAAGACAGGAAAAAAATCAACATACAATTAAAAAGAGACACTGTCACTTATACCAAAAACTTAAACGAACTTTGTGATCGTCATGGTAAACATGGTAATCGAATGGTCATCTAATATCAAATCATTTTCTGATAATTGTGACATGAACCCACATGCAATCATCTATAATTGTTTGCACCCTTGATCTGGAAGCTGGTTCCATCTGCGGGCAGCATAGTAACCGAAAGAGATCTCTCTTTGTTTGGAGTGAAGCCGTGGTGGCTGTATATGGTTCAATCTGTGTGATCTGAGAGCTCTGTTTGGTTTTTAACATATTTAAGTATTTTGGTTCTGAGTTATTTTGTGACATGTACAAGTAGCAGGATTTTTTTGGTCAGGAGCCACATTATGAATGAGCTGAAGCAGTCTAATGTTGTTTTTGTGAAGATCAGTAAGGAGACCACTATAGTTGTCCCGCCTGCTGGTGATGAAAGCCAGGACTGGTGAAACAAATGTAGTTCTGCCAATGTTTATAGGATGATGATAAGCTGATTTAGTCCAAAATTCCAAGAATCACCCCAAGATTCTTGACCTGGCTTTTCTTTATTAGACCATTAAAGTTGAGGTAAGCATTCACATTGAGAACCTCATCTTTGTTTCCAAGTGCAATGACTTACCCGATTAATTGTAAAAACAAATGACCTAATAATCAGTTTTGACAATAATTCTTATTAGAATCACAAGTAGATATTTTTGGAAAATCATAGACATCTACAAGCTACAAGGTCTGTCAGAATGGAATTGCTGATAAGTTTGGGGATTCCACACTTTTCCACTCTTTTGACGAATAGTATTTTTTTGTAGTGTATAAGTAGCTTAGTGGCCCTAATCCTGATCTGCTGAGAATGTCTTGGTTGCCGTTCTTGAAGGGGACTGTTTAAACAAGTATTGTCACTTGTAAATATTCTTAGAGTGGTTTTTGCCACATCACAGAGCTGTCCATTATCCATCAGCTTGACAGCCATGCTGTTTGTCGTGTACACCACACAATTTGGATGACAGTGGTAACTGGCAGTGTCAAATAACCAAATTATTTAGTCATGGCTTTTAAATGGGCACGACGGCAAATGGATGTCATGTAAATGATGCAATTTATTCCCCCTTTCCTCCTCCTCGCCAGGCGGTCTGCCACGGGACTTCTGCCAGCCTTAAATAAGTGTTACCCAGATGGCACTCGCATGACGCCCACTTGGTTACAGAATTGTTCCACGGGAATAACTCGGCATGCCACAACAAGCAATAGGTCAATTGAGCAGCGAGTGTCTGTTGCCTGACCTGTTTTACATATGCAAATCTGCTAATGTTGTGTCATTTCTGTAAATTCCAGGGGAAAGAGGGCTCTTAGGGCTTTCTAAATGAATTGGAAAAGAGCCCAGATAATGAGGGTGGAAGGAAGAGAGGTAAAAACAGGAGATGCAAGCTTTCTCAGCAAGTACATAATTTTAGAGTGCCTCTTCTGAACTCTTCAAAATGCCTCCCATTCTTCACAGGACGATTGTGTGATTGTGGATGGATATATCCAAATCCTTCATTCTTGCCTACCTGCGTTTGTACATGGACTGTCAAAAATTCAGGTTTAACCCAAGATCTTTTTAGAAAAACTACAAACAGTATTGCACACCACACCACTGCCTTTGTCAGGTTTTCAGTGATACATCAGCTTCTTTATTCTTTAAAGTACATTGGAGAGGCCGAGGCCTCGTCTTTTGTATTTTATACAGGAAAAAAATCTGAAAAAATCTGTCACCTAGATTATTTTGGGATACAATTTATTTGAATCCTTTTCTAACACTTGTTTCGTAGGTTGTGTGGTTGGTGACAAAGTGCTAGAGATCTAATATGCCTACGTGTTTTAAGGTCATTTAATGTATCGCCGGTGAACATCTTGTATATGAGCTAAGAAAAACTGTTGAAAAAGCTTCATGGCAATCCATTTCTGGTACATTTATTTGAGCATAGTTTCAACATATGACAGTGCAGCAATCTAAATGTACGCTGACTCTGCTTTTGGTTTATTTTGATTGTGTGTGAGTGAGGATGACTGAAATTGCCAGTATTAGAGACCTCTTGCCCAGAATTGATGTTAGAGCAATTTACCAGAGATTTAATAAATTTGGTAATTGATAACAAAAAAATAAATGAATAAAATTAAAACTTCAACGTCGTCATTTGAAGTGTTTAGTTGTTGAAAATGTATTGATAATTAAATTGTTTGGAATTTTCAGGTTTTTTTAGTCCACTTTTGGTCTGATTTTTAGTTCAGTTGTTGCTTTCTCATCTGTCCAATCCAACCAAACTAAAAGATAAAACGATGTCTAGTTCATTTGAATCGAAAGCCTCTTTAGAGTTTCAAAGTCAAATATGTGTTGTTGGGGTCCAATGATTATGGAATAGTCATTCGTCGACTCTACAGGGGCCCTGCATTTCTCTTTGTCAAATTTTATTTAATTTTTTTCACAAAACATACAGTGCAAGCAAATATTTATTTCTAGAAAGAGTGGAATTGCACTATGGATCTCCTACTTATTCATTGTCTTAGTCATTTTTATTCAACTTTCTTTCCAAACTTTCCTATATTTTTGTCTTCCTACTTGACATTTTTATTTTATGTACACTTCACACTGGAAACTGTGTGTGCATGGTTCTCCATTCATCACAATTGTTTCTTCAGATTCATTTTGGTGAAATCTTGGGTACTGACAGTGACTGTCAATATCTTTGTTCACAATGGGTCGTATAACAACGCTCAGTCTTGTTTTGTCTTCATCATTGAACCATAAAAGTGAAATGCTGAAGAGAATGTCAATGCTCTTCCTGGAATAGTGAGTGTTTCGTAATGTGTATAAGGTTTGCCAAACCACTTAATAGGACAATTGTCTTAATTTTTTAAACTGAACAAGAATTGTCTTCAGTTGTCTGCATTAGTCAAATATCCAAAGGGGCTGTCAAGCTGTAATCAATGTTCCCTGGCTGTGAGCAGTACCAGGACAGTGCATTTGACTGTATGCGGGACACCAACCTGTAGCCCCTGTTCATTTAGCTTGCTTTAAAACAGACTTTTCCAGTGGTAACTGTTTTGTGTTGCAATAAGCTGAAGACATTGTCAGCAGTAAGCGTTCTTTCATTTTCAGACACAAATACGATAATGAGGTTGCAGATTACTAACATTATAGAATGTCCTTCATTTCTTGTTTCCAA